AATAAAAATAAAAATAATAAATTGTAATGGAAAGTAAAACAAGACAGAGAGAAACAAAAACCCGGGGTGGTGGTGGTGGTGGTGGAGTAAACCAGCAACTGCTCACCACCTGCTGACCGATGCCCAGCCAGTTCCTGAGCAGCAGTCGCTGCCCCCCGGCCAATTCCTCCCAGCTTATATACTGAGCATGACGACATATGGTATGGAACATCCCTTTGGCCAGTTTGGGTCAGCTGTCCTGGCTATGCCCCCTCACAGCTTCTTGTGCACCTCCTCGCTGGCAGAGTATGAGAAGCTGAAAAGTCCTTGACTAGTGTAAGCACTGGTTAGCAACACCTAAAACATCGGTGTGTTATCACATTATTCTCATACTAAATCCAAAGCATAGCACTATACCAGCTGCTAAGAAGAAAATTAACTTTATCCCAGCCAAAACCAGGGCAGTGTTACATTTTTACCCATTAAATGACAGTTTCTCATTGTCTAGAAATACCTGTCAGTGGACATGCCCGTTGTGCTTCAACACAGAAGGTGACCGCGGCAGCTGGATCTGTAGGTGACTGGAGTTAGAGCACAAGAGCTCTGAATGCCATTTCGGCATGTTGCAGACTCCTGTGAGACTGGGAGAATAACTGTCTACAATGAATGTGCAACATTTCCTTCCTAGGAAAACAAGAAAGAGAAAAAAAAAAACAGAACAAAATATAATTATGCCATTGTATAAATCCATGGTGCACACATATCTTGAATAATTGTCTAGTCTGTCTCAAATGTAAGAACGACTGAAATGAACAGAAGGTAAGTTATGGATAACAGGAGAGAAGACCTTTCTATGCAACACATTGTGGAACTTGTGATATATGGTAGAAGTCAAATGAGTGCGATCCACAAAAGAGTTAGACAAATTCACAAAGGTTAGATGTGTTTGTCTCTGTTAATCACAATGTTCAGGTTTTAGTCATAGCTCAGGACCCTAAATAAACTCAGACCCCCTAAATCACCAGAGTACATGCTCTTCTGCTCTCCATTGGAGTTGGTTATTGAG